TGATGGACTATGTCCTTTTGTGATTTTGAAAGTAGCATCCTTCAAATTTGTATCTGTTGCTTCTTGCAACTATCTGGAGCAGAAATTATGTGTTAAGACTACTTGGACTGCTCTCAGGGGGTATATACCCCTTGACTTCTGTTTTTCCTGAGGTGTGGCGTTATCTCACTGAATAGGAAGACTGCACCTATAGTATAATATATATCCTTAATATGTGCCTTCTCTCATCTGTGTCTCGCTGCGTTGCGAGCCCCCTCTTTCTGCAATTGCCATCATAGGTGTACGATTGTATTATTATGATCTTTATCTGTTAACTTTCAATAGAAATATTGAAAACAGAAAAAATAACAATAATTAAATTAATGAAAAAAAAAAATGTAAAAGCAATCTTGTTGCCATGCGCACACCCACATAATGCATAGAGTGCGCACGTGTATGTAAGCAATGATTGCACCACACATGTTCTAAATCTCATGAACGAAGTGAAAACAATAATCCTAGGTACCTCATTTCCAGTTATCTCAAGATGATGAGCTAGAAAAGCATTTAAAGCACTATCTGCTGATAATTGTGGGAACTTGTAGTTTTCACATTGGAGAAACTTTCCTTAACTTCCTGTCTTATAGCCAAAACAGAAAGTGAGAGAAAATCCCTTCAAAGTGAGGGAAAACCAGAGAGTCACCAGAACTAGTGTCCTCATAGTGTCCCCACTCTGTTACTGCATTGTGTCCCCACTCTATTATTCCCCCCCTTCTCACTGTGTCTGTGCCCCCCCCCCCTCCCTCGCTGCTGTGTCTGAGCCAATGCACATTAATATTGGCCATGAAGCAGTCCATCATAGTAGTAAGGAAATAAGAATGTAAGGAGTGGGATTTAAAAGCCAGTTCCAGCGCTACCTGGCAGTGTCTTAGTATTACCTGTCAGAATGGCTGGCATTTGGCTGAATCTGAAGGCTTTCTGACGTTGCCTATCTTTCAGATAACAGTTCTATGATGCATGCATCCATTTAAGTTGGATAAAAGCTTAAATATTTACTGCAAGTATATCTTCCTGGTGAATATGCCCTGCTGCATTCCCAACAAAGGAGCCAGCCGCTTGAAAGGGGCACCAATCAAGGAATGCTTTGCATTTTCTTAATGAATGCAAAGAGTTCTCTGACTGGGTGAGGTAGAGAGGCGGGGCATTGACAACACACTCTCTACCTCGTCCCATCAAAGAATGCTTTGCATACACTGAGAAAATGCAAAGCATTCTCAGAATGGTGGACATGCTGATCGGTTGATCTTCTGTGTTCTGAATGCAGCTGCGCAGCACAGGACACGGAAGCAAGTAGAGATCACTGGAGTAGCAATGTCTACTACAAGGATTTACAGCTTCTCGAGAGATCCCACAGGTATGGTATAAACTAGACCAATGTAACCATGTAGAAAACACCATTTTTGCAATTCTTCTTTAAAGATTGTGTTAGGCAATGAAAAGAAGCAGCTATATGTTTTGTTTGCACTGAAGTAGAAGACAATGCCTGTTTGCTGTGTTTGCTGACAACAACAAAGTAGGCTTTGTTTATGGAAGTGTTGGAGATGCCTGTTTTCCCCCTCTGATCTTGGAAACACGTATACAGTATATCATTGTGTAAAAACTGTCAGTTATATTAAAACCTTTGTTAAAAAAAAAAAAGGTATACAACCAATACGCTATGAATATGACAGATGATGGACTTGAAGCACAACCTACTGGTTATTTCTCGTTACTGCAAACACATCTAGCAACAGAGACTGATGAACTTTTCTATCAGTAAAAATGAAGCTGCAATTCTGAAACAAACATATACTATGTAAATGAAATCTAATGAAAGTGAGAAACACAAAGTCATGATCTGGCAAACTTGCACTTGTGTGCTTTTCTTTGAAGAGCGTGTGTTCATTGAGTCAATCCTCACTTTTTAAAACAACAAAGATGTTTTACAAATAATGCTTCTGTGTTTTGCATACGCTAGTTAAGACCTTTACGATTAATTAAGGCAGCGGTTCTCAACCTGGGGGTCGCGACCCCTTTGGGGGTCGAACGACCATTTCCCAGGGGTCGCCTAAGACCATCGGAAAACACATATTTCCGATGGTCTTAGGAACCGAGACACCGCTGCTCTGTCTCGCGATCTGTGGGCGGGATGATATGCTGCCCCTGTAACCTGGCCACACCTCCGGGATCACTCAACAGCTCCGCCTCCTCGCCACTGATTGGCCACCGGAACTGTAGCTCAGGAGAGGCACACAGGCGGCCAATCACCGGCGAGGAGGTGGAGCTTGGAGAGGAGGAGCCGAGCGGCAGAGCGCGCAGATCGAAGAAGATTGAGGGAGCTGCAGGAAGAGGCCAGAGAAGGAAGACAGCTGACAGGTAAGTGCAAATTTTGCTTCTGCAGGCTGTAGATGGGAGAGGGAGAGAGCGAGCCCAGGCTGGAGCAGGGGTCAGCAAGGTAAGTATCATTGGTGTCAGTGGGAGGAATAGTGCCCCATCATTTGTGTCACTAATACCAACGATGGGGCACTATTCCTCCCCCCACTGACACCAACGATGGGGCACTATTCCTCCCCCCACTGACACCAATGATAGGCACTATTCCTCCCCCCACTGACACCAACGATGGGGCACTATTCCTCCCACTGACACCAACGATGGGGCACTATTCCTCCCACTGACACCAACGATGGGGCACTATTCCTCCCCCCACTGACACCAACGATGGGGCACTATTCCTCCCCCCACTGACACCAACGATGGGGCACTAACTGACACCAATGATAGGCACTATTCCTCCCCCCACTGACACCAACGATGGGGCACTATTCCTCCCACTGGCACCAATGATAGGCACTATTCCTCCCCCCACTGACACCAATGATAGGCACTATTCCTCCCCCCACTGACACCAACGATAGGCACTATTCCTCCCCCCACTGACACCAACGATGGGGCACTATTCCTCCCCCCACTGACACCAACGATGGGGCACTATTCCTTCCCCCACTGACACCAACGATGGGGCACTATTCCTCCCCCCACTGACACCAACGATGGGGCACACTATTCCTCCCCCCACTGACACCAACGATGGGGCACTATTCCTCCCCCCACTGACACCAACGATGGGGCACTATTCCTCCCCCCACTGACACCAACGATGGGCACTATTCCTCCCCCCACTGACACCAACAATGGGGCACTATTCCTCCCCCCACTGACACCAACGATGGGCCACTATTCCTCCCCCCACTGACACCAATGATAGGCACTATTCCTCCCCCCACTGACACCAACGATGGGGCACTATTCCTCCCACTGACACCAACGATGGGGCACTATTCCTCCCACTGGCACCAATGATAGGCACATTCCTCCCCCCACTGACACCAATGATAGGCACTATTCCTCCCCCCACTGTCACCAACGATAGGCACTATTCCTCCCCCCACTGACACCAACGATGGGGCACTATTCCTCCCCCCACTGACACCAACGATGGGGCACTATTCCTCCCCCCACTGACACCAACGATGGGGCACTATTCCTCCCCCCACTGACACCAACGATGGGGCACTATTCCTCCCCCCACTGACAAACCAACGATGGGGCACTATTCCTCCCCCCACTGACACCAACGATGGGGCACTATTCCTCCCCCCACTGACACCAATGATAGGCACAATTCCTCCCCCCACTGACACCAACGATGGGGCACTATTCCTCCCCCCACTGACACCAATGATAGGCACTATTCCTCCCACTGACACCAATGATGGGGCACTATTCCTCCCACTGATACCAATGATGGGGCACTATTCCTCCCACTGATACCAATGATGGGGCACTATTCCTCCCACTGACACCAATGATGGGGCACTATTCCCCCACTGATACCAATGATGGGGCACTATTCCTCCCACTGACACCAATGATGGGGCACTATTCCTCCCACTGACACCAATGATGGGGCACTATTCCTCCCACTGACACCAATGATGGGCACTATTCCTCCCACTGACACCAATGATGGGACACTATTCCTCCCACTGATACCAATGATGGGGCACTATTCCTCCCACTGACACCAATGACACTAACTGACACCAATGATGGAGCACTATTCCCCCCACTGACACCAATGATGGGGCACTAACTCCCACTGACACCAATGATGGGGCACTATTCCTCCCACTGATACCAATGATGGGGCACTATTCCTCCCACTGACACCAACGATGGGGCACTATTCCTCCCACTGATACCAACGATGGGCACTATTCCTCCCAATGACATCAGTGATGGGGCGCTAGTCCTCCCACTGATACCAATGATGGGGCACTATTCCTCCCACTGATACCAATGATGGGGCACTATTCCTCCCACTGACACCAATGGCGGGACACTATTCCTCCCACTGACACCAACGATGGGACACTATTCCTCCCACTGACATCAGTGATGGGGCGCTAGTCCTCCCACTGATACCAATGATGGGCACTATTCCTCCCACTGATACCAACGATGGGGACACTATTCCTCCCACTGACATCAGTGGGGCACCAATGATGGGGCACTATTCCTCCCACTGATACCAATGATGGGGCACTATTCCTCCCACTGCAAAATTACAGTTCTGAAGTAGCAACGAAAATAATTTTATGGTTAAGGGTCCCCACAACATGAGGAACTGTATTAAGGGGTCGCGGCGTTAGAAAGGTTTGAGAACCACTGAATTAAGGTAAAGAGAAGTCTCCAAATAAACGCCCCCACATCAGGTTCTGTGTGATCTGCCTCGCATGCTCTCTCTCTCGGCGCTCCTAGTTCACCACAGCTCACCTCTCTCTCCTCCCACTGCCCTAATTATCTGCCAGAGTGAAGTAGGAGCATGAGACTCTTCCAATTTTCCCAGAATGCAGTGCTGCACACTTTAGTGACCATGGGGCACTATTCCTCCCCCCACTGACACTAATGATGGGGCACTATTCCTCGAACTGACACCAATGATGGGGTACTATTCCTCCCACTGACACCAATGATGGGGCACTATTCCTCCCACTGACACCAATGATGGGGCACTATTTCCTCCCACTGACACCAATGATGGGGCACTATTCCTCCCACTGACACCAATGATGGGGCACTATTCCTCCCACTGACACCAATGATGGGGAACTATTCCTCCCACTGACACCAATGATGGGGAACTATTCCTCCCACTGACACCAATGATGGGGCACATTTCTTCCAACTGACACCAATGATGGGGCACTATTCCTCCCACTGACACTAATGATGGGGCATGATTCTTCCCACTGACACCAATGATGGAGCACTATTCCTCCCACTGACACCAATGATGGGGCACTATTCCTCCCACTGACACCAATGATGGGGCACTATTTTGCTCCATAAGACACACTTAGGGGGAAATGTCTGTGCGTCTTATGGAGCGGCCGGCCCAGTATTCCCGCCGCCGTTGTATGTCCGCAGTCTCTGGTCATCTCCTATACTGTGTCCGCATTTGATCATAGTTTTTTTTTTTTAAACTATAGTCCGGCCCTCCAACGGTCTGAGAGACAGTAAACTGGCCCCCTGTTTAAAAAGTTTGAGGACCCCTGCCTTAGAATCTACATTATTAAATAACATAACCTGGAAACAGAAGCACGAGTACCTGGCCGTCCTGATCAATAGACACATTTTTAGACATATACTGTAGATATTTTTATACACGAGTCCACTATAACAATGATGACCTCCTGAAATGTAGCAAATAGACTATTTCTTAAGAAAAAAAAAAACCAACTGGAATATTTAACAGGAAAGAAATCCTGCCACCTGTGTCCTAATGCAGCAATGAGTCATCCTTTTGCTCAATGTTCAGGTAGGAACTACTAGAAGAGCACAAAGATGACTCACAGCATTGTCTGTCTGTGCTGAGATATATCTGCTATGTGGGGTATTCAGTGAGTACTGCTACTGTTCTGGGTTAAGCAAACAGAAAAGAAAAACAGATGTGCATCAAAATAGAAATGTTAGGGCATGCAACTCAAAAGCAAGTCAAATGCAATATGGTTTGTGTTGATTTGACTTGCTTCTGAGTTCTTTGTAGTCGGTTTATGAATTGCTTTGATTCGTTTCAAGCTATTTTTGCATTCACGTTGACCTGTTATGGTAAGGAAAGTAGTTCAAACACAAATGTCTATGTACACGAGCCCTAACAAGTGACGATTCTGGACAGGTTAAACAGGACATCCACCCAAGATTTTAAAACTGTGTTGGGTAGCAGCTAGCACACTTTTTTGGTACCAGAAAATTATTGGTTGGCCAAGGTTCCTGTACTAGTCATTTTTAAAGTATATGGCTTTTTTTGCCAAACATTCACTGGATTTTTCGGATCTCCAGCCAACCACTGGATCCTACGGGGGTATTGGTGGACAGTGTGTCCCAAAAAACACTAGCTTTTCCCAGTCATTAGCTTTGGGTTGGAAGTATTCCAAAAGGTTGCGTTTTTAATAAAGCTGAGTGTTTCTGAACAGCAGAAAAGGTCTTCAGTGATATGTGTTATCCACTGTCTTAATCTAATTTGTTACTCCATGTACTTGCTGTAACAATTTAATTTACATGTGTTTTTAGGGCTCAAAAGTATAATTACTTCAGCTGACAAATCCAGACTTTTTATAAGAATAAATAAAACAATAAACCGCTGTTCAGTAACACAGCAGCAACAATACAGTTGCCAATTAAAATACCCTGCAGCCAACTTCTGTTTGGCACTATGATAAAGCAGAAGCATAGTAGGCTGGCTATTTGGCTGCTGTAGGAGTGATGTAAGATGCTGATCTCCTAGCTGAGTCAGGGATGCTTCTGAAAAAGAGAAGCTAAGCTTTAGGTCTGTTCCCATGTTGAAAAGCTGTGGATCAAACACGGCCATGGTTTTCCTTTAAGGTTTTGGTGAGGTGAAATGTACCCCTGTAAAATGACCCTAATAGAAAATGCACTCATACTACTGCATACAGAGGTTGTAAAGGCTGAATTTTATTTTTTACATTTATGCATTCTATGCATGAAGGGAAAAACCTTTTATGTGCTGCTCCCCCCACAGCCCCCCCCCCCAAATGCTCACCTGAGCCCCCTCTAAAGCCAGTGATGTGCATGGGAGCATCAGCTGTCCCGGTTCTCCCTCTTCATTGGCTGAGACACAGCAATGGGAGCCAATTACTTCCACTGTTGTCAATCACAGCCAGTGAGCCAATAAGGGAAAAGTGGGGGGCAGGGCTGAGCCACAGCTCTATGTGTCTTATGGACACAGTGCGGGGTTTGGGAGTGAGCATGCACCAGTACCTCCATAGCAAGCGGCTTGCTATTGGTTGGCACTGGTCAAGGGGGAGGACCCAGGAGCACTGGGGGAAGGAGGGAGGGGGCAATAAGAAGAGGACAGGGGCTTCTCTGTGTTTGTGTTGTTATTTAAAAACAAAAAAACAAAATAAAATGAATCTTTAGAATTACTTTAAAGCACCCTGCTGAACACACTAAAAAGTCAAATACACTGCAAGCTGACAGTCCGTAAACTTTTGTGGAGAACTGCTAATGCTGTGCACATGTGGGGATACTACTGAAGTTAAATACATATTTGAAAACAGCACATTGAGCATAAACGGACTTCTTTACTAGTGTCATGACCTTGTTTTATACACTGTTATATATATTCTCTCTAACAGAAAAAGATGACCAGTTCTTTTAAACAAGGCAGTTAGTAAGTGGTGGCTAACTGTACTGTTTCCTATGATGCAGTTTGACCATCCAGGAGTTAATCATGTGATCCTACTTCTCAAGATTGTGCAGCCTATTAATGCTATCTCTGTCTGCATCTCCCTTCTTCCTGCCACCCACATAAGTTGTAATAGGACAGGAATCTGTGACTTAGCACAATTGGGTTATACAGGCAGGGAGCGTGACTATGATTCAGTCCCCAGTGAGGAATCACTTCTATTGTTTAACCAAGGATGGGATTGCAGTGCATTGAGATGGAAGGTAGCTTAGGCCCCTAAAAAAGAAATGTTTTTTTTTTAAACAGAAAGACAAAACTGAACACCTGATTCATGCCTCTGCAGTTCCTTAGCAGAGCACAAACTATACAGGAGCCTTTACTGGGCTTAGGCTCAGAATATGGACAATCAGTATGAATCCAAAGATCTGCCCCCCAGGTTGCCCCTGCTGCCTTTATTAAAATTAAACATTTTTGCATATGTACATTTTTTCCCATGGGATTTCAGTCCAATCAAGTGACATCATGGGGTTTATTTACTAAAGCTGGAGAGTCCAAAATCAGACTCCCTTCTGCATAGAAACCAATCAGCTTCTAACCTCATCTTGTTCAATGAAGCTTTGGCAATGAAACCTGGAAGCTGATTGGTTTCTATGCAGAAGGGAGTCTGATTTTGGACTCTCCAGCTTTAGTAAATAAACCCCCATGAGTCCTCTTCCTCTGGTGGTGGGCAAGCCCAGAATGGTGCAGCATCATGATCACCACATGCCATACCAGCATCCTGATCACCACCATACACCACACCAGCGCCCTGATCATCGCCATACCGCGTATCAGCATTCTGATCACCCCATATGCCATACCTGCATCCTGATCACCACCATACCCCATACCAGCGTCCTGATCACCACCATACCCCATACCAGCGTCCTGATCACCACCATACCCCATACCAGCGTCCTGATCACCCCATATACCATACCAGCATCCTGATCACTGCCATACCAGCATCCTGATCGCCACCATACCTCATGCCAACATCCTGATCACTGCTATACCCCATACCAGTGTCCTAAAAATCGCCATACGTCATACCAGCCTCCTGATCCCTGCCATACTTCATATCAGTGTCCTGATCACTGCCAAACGTCATACCAGCATCTGGCAATTTAGGGTCTCACCTGAGCAATTTTCAAATATATACTCCATAGTTTGTAGACTCTATAACTTCACACAGACTAAATAATATACACTGTTTTATGTTATTCTTACCCCCCAAATGTAGCAGAATACATTTTGGCCTACATCCCTGAAGAAAGATTATTTAATTGCAAAATTATAAAACAAAAACTAAGCAATTTTTTTATTTTTTAACCACTAGCCTACAGGGCACTTATACCCCCTTCCTGTTCAGACCAATTTCCAGCTTTCAGCGCTGTTGCACTTTGAATGACAATTGCGCAGGTATGCAACACTGTACCCATATGAAATTTTTATCATTTTTTTGCGACAGATAAAGCTTTATTTTGGTGGTATTTAATCACCTCTGGGTTTTTTTATTTTTTCTTAAACAAACCAAAAATCACTGAAAATTTTGAACAAAAAAATTTTTTTTTTCTTAGTTTTTGTTATAAAATTTTGTAAATAAGTGATTTTTCTCCTTCACTGATGTGCGCTAATGAGGCTGCACTAATGGGCACTGATAGGCTGCACTGATGGACACTGATAGGTTGCACTGATGGGCACTGGTAGGTGGCACTGATGGGCATTGACTGGCACTGTTAGGCGGCACTGACTGGCACTGTTAGGCGGCACTGATAAGCGGCACTGATGCGCACTGATAAGCGGCACTGATTGGCAGCACTGATGTGGCATATTGGCATTGATAGGTGGCATTGACTGGCACTGATAGGTGACACTGAAAGGCAGCTCAGATGGGCACTGATATGTGGCATTGATGTGCACTGGTAGGCACTGATGGGCACTGGCACGAGGCACTGATGAGCACTGACATAAGGCACTGCTGGGGCTGCACTGATCATTGGGGCACACTGATCATCAGTGTACATGTCCCCTCTGCGGAAAGCCGATTACTGGCTCTCCTCTCCTCTCGAGCTGTCAGCGTGACAGCTCGAGAGGAGAGAAATGTCGATAACTGGCATTTCCCTGTTTACATGTGATCAGCTGTGATTGGACACAGCTGATCACATGACCGAGCCAACATCTTCGGCTCTTTCCGTGATCGGTGATCCGCTGTGTCCGAGGGACACAGCGCACCACCGATCGCCGCGCTCCCAGAACGAGAGAACCACCTTGCGCCCATCATATTACTATATGGCGGGCAGGAGGTGGTTAAATTTCAGTATTTTTTCATTTATATAGCAACAGTGATTAAATACCACCAAAAGAAAGCTCTGTCTCAAAAAAAATTATAAAAATCTTATATGGGTAGAGCGTTGCATGACTGAGTAATTGTCATTCAAAGTGTGACATCGCTTAAAACTGGACTGGAAGGGGGTGAAAGTATCCAGACTTGAAGTGGTTAAGTGTGGAAATCTGGGCATTTATAAAGCAATAATTTGTGGTAGCGCACCCCCACTCCTCTACCACCAAGTATTTTAGTAAAGTTCCCTTAAGGTGGTATTAAACCCAAAACCAAAATGTAATATATTGAAGGTTAACAATCATTAGATGTGGTGGCTGCATTAACTTTCTTTTTTAGGCTTTTTTTCCCCTCTGTTTTCACTTGGTGGTCTGGTCAGGTGTTCTCACTCTGGATGAATGAGCGCAGGGGCACGTTTGGACAACAGCAATGTTAATCTTAGAAGTACTAGCAGATTTACATTATATTGCCAAAAGTATTGGGACACCCCTCCAAATCATTGGATTCAGGAGTTCCAATCACCTCTGTGGCCACAGGTGTAAAAAATCAAGCACCTAGGCTTGCAGACTGCTTCTACAAACATTTGTGAAAGAATGGGTTGCTCTCAGGAGCTCAGTGAATTCAAACATGGTACTGTGATAGGTTGCCACCTGTGCAATAAGTCCATCCATGAAATTTCCTGGCTACTAAATATTCCAGTCAACTGATAGTGATGTTATAACAAAGTGGAAGCAACTGGGAACAACAGCAACTCAGCCACGAAGTGGTAGGCCACGTAAAATGACACAGTGGGGTCAGCGCATGCTGAAGCGCACAGTGTGCGGAAGTTGCTAACTGTCTGCAGAGTCAATAGCTAAAGACCTTCAAACTACATGTGGCCTTTAGATTAGCATAACAATGCGTAGAGAGCTTCATGGAATGGGTTTTCATGACCGAGCAGCTGCATCCAAGCCTTACATCATTAAGTGCAATGCAAAGCGTCGGATGCAATGGTGTAAAGCACGCCACCACTGGACTCTAGAGCAGTGGAGACGTGTTCTCTGGAGTGACAAATCACACTTTAATTCTGAAACTGCTTAACAGAACGTTTGTAGTTAAAGAGTAACGCCTCTAAAATCAGATTTTCTCTGGTGCTAATAGCGCAAATTCATTCAAAGATATCTAGATATTGGGTAATGTGGGACAAGGTTTGATTCCATGTCATGTCTTAGGTGCAGTTATGACAAGTGATGAGCTTGTCTAAGAAGCCAACTTGTTTGTTGTAACCATCCTCTATTTTCTATAGGCCTCAGTATATTCAGTTTAGGAATATGGGGAGAAAGCTGAGGCCAGTGACAACAACAGTTGTCTTCTGGGGTGGGAATGATCAACAGCTGATCCTTGAGGAAATCAACACAGCTATCTTCACCCATTTAGAGAAATTTATTTTTGGTAGAGTTGCTTTTCAAAAGACATTACCAACTTTTTAAACACACTTATTTTTTATCAGGTTTTCTAGCAAAGAATGCTGTGAAAACGTCCATGCAAACAGCTAAAAAACACATATATACTTATTTACTTGTCACAGGGTTGTAATTATTTACAGGTCATACATAGCTAAAGGATCTCTATTGCACTTCTAGTACTAGAGCAGAACGAGACACCTCCAGCTTCCCCACTGAACAATAAAGCAAAATCTAAGCACTGATGAGGCCATCCTTCTGCTTGGTCCACTCTCTTGCATTAACCTAACTGGATCCTAGTACTGGCACGCACTCTCCTAGCTTGGTACAAGTATATCATTATAGTACAATAACTACATTTAAAAAGACACTTATTTTTTAATGATTACATTTAATGAGTACATCTGCTATCCAGTGATGAAAGCAAATGTTTAGGGTTAAACTTAGGCAGTCCATACATTAGTCATTTTTTTTCGTTCAACCAGCGGGTTGAATGAAGAAAATAAAAAATTACCCCATTCCCCCATCCACACCCTCGAGGTGGAAGAGGGAATCCTTCCCACTGAGTTATTGTATTATGACAGCAGGGAGGCTTCCTCTCCATCAAAAATGGACTAATCACTACCACCGGCTATAGCCTTCAGCACTGACCGATTGGGAAAAACCCGACATGGTGATTGTTTAGTAGATCGATTTCTGTACAAACAACCTGCCCATACATGGATCACAATTTGACAGGCCCCCGCTGAACCAGTCAAATTTAGATCCATTTATGGCTGGCTCAATACTCTGAAACTAAACAGGTCAAGATTCTATCTGAACATAGTAGGTATATTCTCCGTGTGTGCTTATCGTTTTCCTCCCAGCCTCCAAAGACATGCTGGTAGTTTAATTGGTTTTTGCCTAAATTGGCCCTGGTATGTGTATGTATGTGTGATCAGGACCTTAGATAGTAAGATCCTTGAGGGCAGGGACTAATGTGAATGTACAATAGGAAAAATGCAGTGTAAGTTGTTAGTGCTACAAATACCTGTAATAAATAAAAAAAACTCCTGATAGAAATCAAATAAATACAAAATACGACAATATTGCACTTATTGGAAAAGTGCTTAGTTATTACAGTACTGCATTGTCCCTGGTTATTATAACTACAGTCTTATCTTTTCGCAGATTTCACTACAGTTATTTCACTGGAGACTCTCCAGGTTTCTATGACTCAATCAACTTAGACTGACCTCAGGCAAAAGAACTTAACATGGCCATACACTAATAGATTTTCTAATGGACATTTGTATGAGTATTCTCAGTACATTCAATGACTTCATAAATGTCTTTTGAAAGTACTTCAAAATTTTGTTTGCTTAAACATTCAATTTTGGAATGAATGTCATTTCCGAAATGAAAGCCACATACACTGTTAAAATTTGTTCAAGTAATATTTTCCATCCCACCCCTTCAAACGTTGTCATCACTATGGTTAAAAACAAATGCTGGCTTGACCCCACTAATGATTCGAAAACCTTTCTGAAAATGGAAAATTTCAAACCAAATTCTACTAGTGTATGGCTTCTCCCTTCAGAAGATGACTACAACTCACAAACTTGAACAACGTCCTCAAATATTTCCTATTCCAAGATGCTGAGTACCATAACTACACACTTGTACAATTCACTCTTCCACAGGAAAATCAAAAGGATATATTGTTAATATAGGTTATAGACAGTACATACAACACCATTTCCTTTTTCATATACTTTCATACCCAAGATTCACAAAATCAGTACCGAGAGAAAATTATTATTATAGAAGAGAATTTTAAGAAATTTATAATTAGGAAAGTAAATCTCAAATGATTGAGCTATTGGAAAAATGTGACTTTTTTGTAAATAAAAATTCTAGTTATACACATTCCCAGCAGAGATCTATGTAAATAACTCCCGAGAATACCAAAGCAGAAGTCAATTGATAACTTACAGTAGAAGAGAAATTATTTATCATGGCCAAATTAAATGAGGGGGAGATAAGACGTAATCATGACATGGTACTTTAATAAAAAGTCACTCAAAGGTATTCAAGTCCATAAAGCAACATCGAATGGTCAGATGAGCGATTTTTACACTTTCTCTTCTGAAAGTTCAAATATAATTCTACAGTTGTAAGGCCAGTATTAGTGGCTAGCAGTGGCTAGCACCACAGAAAATCCATGATAAGTAACAGAATAAACAGAAGAGCAGTTTTCGCCACACTGTACAAATAAGCAAGGAATGGGACAGTTGACAGCATCGGAAAAGAAAGGTTGGCTGCAACAAAAAAAAAAATAAGACGATTGAGAAGGGAAAAGAGGGCTGCAGTATGAAGATTGAGATCATTCAGTATTAACAATAATTGATAAAGGTGTACAGTGACTGACTGCAATAAAGGCATCAAGTCATGCTAGGCACACACTATCAGTTAATATTCATTCAACCCAGCGGCCTGAAAGACAAAAAGCGGAGAAGCTCACTGTACTAACTATCCGATATTAGTACAGAGATCTCTCCGCTGAGCTATTGCATTCTGACGGGTGGACTGCCTGCCCTCCCCCCCATCAGAACACACCAGTCAGCGCTCGCAGCCATTGACTGAGAGCGCTGATCAGATGCTGATCAGCAGATGTTTTTTTGGTCATGCCCTTCCAACAGAAGCTGGACGTTCGGCCGGCTTCTGTTGGACAGACTGCCGTACACAAGAATGTCTGGCCCATGTGTATGGAGGTTTAATCTGCAGCAAAATATGCAGAAAAATATCAGGTGTGGGGATTATTAGAAGAACAATATGATAAAAGAAAGAAGGGGTAGTCAATAGGAAACTACAGTATAGTAAGGAAGAACAGAAGGCAACTAAAGAACAAGAGAAAACAGTCAATGAACAACTAAAGAAGAAT